TATATATATTTATTTATATATAAATATATATTTCGATATATATATATATATATTTATATATATATATATATATATATATATATATATATATATATATATATATATATATATATATATATATATATATATATATATATATATATATATATATATATATATATATATATATATATATATATATATATATATATATATATATATATATATATATATATATATATATATATATATATATATATATATATATATATATATATATATTGTTCTTTGAACGATCTTTGAACAAAATCATTAATTCATGTGTATTTATCTTTATAATGTTCTTCTCAATCGACAACAGTTAGTTCATCTTTTTGTATGGATTTTTAGTTTAAGATTTAATATTATATTTAAAAAAAAAAAAAAATCGCATATATACATTTAATTTGGATGTTAATGACATACTATAAGCAATTATATATACATATATATTTAATTTAGAAAACAATATCATCTATGGAACACAGCATTTAAATTGGTCTGTCTTGATATGTTTTGAACATATTTTTTTGAAAGGGGAAATTATTAAGATATTCCATTAGCATATACTCATCGGTTCCCTTTTAATCGTCGTTTTTTTTAGCTTTGCACAAGAATGAAAATTTTCAGTAATTGTGTCTTCATTTTTTAACAAGAGATCGAGATAGTTGAGTTTAATAAATAGTGTTGGAAAGAGTATAAATTGGAAATTGAGTAATTAAGCAGTGTTGGAAGTTTAAAGGGATAGCTAATATCGAACATTTTTTTTTCGCTCAAAAGTGACAGATATTGTGGAACACATAGAGTAATTTAAAACAACCTAATAAATATGTAAGGACTAAAATGTGCTATATAACTCAGTATTGGGGCTAAATAGTTATTTTGGAAAACATTGTACATGGGGCCCTTCTTTCATTGGCTTTCCTATTATCCTATATCACAAATATGGGTATTTAGATAGTTTGCTGAGATACTCATACCCCTTCGCCTTTAATTTCTTTAATATAGCAAAGTTTCATGTAAATTAAGATTTTATTTATTTATTTATTAATAATTTTTTTTTCAGAAGGTACAATAAATTAGTAAAGACAAAATTTTTAACGTTGTTCAAGACAAATATCATGATGTCTTGGAGCTACTACGTACTCCATCACATTATAATCAGGGTTTTCTGCAAATGAGATCATGTTTGCATGCACGAAAAGATTGCGTTGTACAAAAACAAAATTGTTGAATAATAATATATGTAATGGCCAATATTGTTTAATTTATCGTGTGTACGTAATTTATTAAGACAAGCTCAGTCTAATTCCAAGGGCGTTTCGTATAAACAACTAAAGGTAAATTTTACGGTCACCACCGACGTAAGGTTTTATTATGAAAAAAAAATAAAAAAAATTCTTGTTTGGATAATTACAACTACCTTATAATTATGAATCTTCTTTACACATCTTCATTGCGGTGTCAAATTTAGAGGAATCTTCTATTAAATTATGTAATATATACTGACATGCGGTAACTGTAATATTTTGTCTTACCCGTGATTTAATTGCGCGCAGCTTGTTTGTTTAATAAAATGGTAATTTAGACAATTCATTCATTCAATTACAGTTTATAACGGACTGTTAGTTTTAGTGGGGTATTTGTAATTATCAATACCACAGGGGTTTGTAAGTTATTTAGTCTTACATCAGGGGTATCCAATCGGTAATTTACCCAAAAAATATTTACAAAATATCCATAGGAATAATATGTGTATCAATTTAACAAAAAATAAATGGGTTAATCCCACTTTACACCCTCGAAAAATCAATAAAGTGCGAAAAAAATAAAAATTAAACCGGATTATTTAAAAAAAATTATATTTTATAACAAAAAAATAAAATAAGCTTTTATCACTAAATTATTCGATTGATGGATCTTTTATTGTATCTGGTTGAAATCTTAGATAAAAATATTTGGAAGAAAATACGATTTCCAGATAACTTGACAACGGAATAGCTGAATGATTTTTTTCGTAAATTATTTTATTTTGATAAGAAAATATAATTTTTAAATATGTTGATGAAATGTATTTTTATTTTTGCACTATATAGTTTCAAAATGATTGATGAAAAAAAAATTATTTGACATTTGGCATCCTAAAAAAATATCACTAAAAAATTTAAATTATATTTTTTGCTTTAAAAATTCATTTGGGGTGCATTATGGATGATTTATTGTGTTTTGAGGGTGCAAAGTGCTATTAATTTGTTTCGAGTGTGGAAAGTGCCAAAATGGTATATTTCAAGGGTGAAAGTGGGATTAAGCCTATTTTTGAATTGGTTTAGGACATTTAAATAATATAATATATAAGATTAAAATATTTTACTGGATTCCACCGTGTAGTGGGCCAAGATCCAGCCCAGGAAACACAGTCCCCTTGCTTAAATTGATCATTGAACAGTGCCCATTTTATGAACCAGCCCACAATAAAAATGGCCTTAATTTTATTGTTTTCTGATTAATTTATAGCCTTCATTCATAGACTCCGTTGAATTGGCTTGATTCACTTTCATATATGTATTACTAATTACTAATGAAACCTAATTTGTCATTTGATAGCTTAGATTCAAAGCTCGATAATGCATTATTAGGGTCCGTGTAATTTATCAGTGTAATTGGTTGATAGTGGTTTGCTGAACTCATCCACTCCGCTCGGGTCACAACAAAATCGAGGGGAGTAGATGATGGGGCTAATTTGGCAAGCTTGAGCCGGAATGGCAAAGATGGGCCTCTGGAGCTAAAGAAGCCCAATAAATGACGATTTAGCAAAAAATGGGCCACAAGCTCGCCTAGGAAGAGCCCAATAGTACGAGGCTCACCATTAGATAATTTGCTCAAGTTGAATATTGGCTACATATGGTTCAGGTTGCATAAGAAGGAACAAAAGGAATAGGTGGCGAGCTGACCGAGGAGGAGTTAGAAGGACGGATTTGAAGATATTCTCCGAAAAATAGACAATAAAAATATACAAATTAGACGTGATTAATCGTGAAATTCGTACAAATCTTGTACAAAATAGAACAAAGTAAAAAAAGAAATGACCAATCAAAGAAAACCTCCTATATAAACGAATGCATGAAAACCTTGTTACGGTTACATTGTGACAAACAATAATACTCTTTTCTCTAACTCTCTTTGTTTTATATATATTTTCCGTTCATTGTTTCACCGCCGCCGGCCTTATGCCTGATGTTCGGTGAACTCTCCAACGGTTAAAAGAGTAAGATTTGGAAGAAGGTTCTGAAGATGACGTAGCTCCTACACCATCAAACATGTGGGCGATAACCGATAGTGGTGTGACATAATGGTAAAATACATTATTGAAAAGTAAAAACTATATAATTAAAATATTTGTGATTCAATTGAAAAATCCCCCTCCCCCACTATGCCTGTGATTTCAACCACATACATAAACATGATATTCCAATATATATTGCTCAAAATTATATATATATATATATATATATATATATATATATATATATATATATATATATATATATATATATATATATATATATATATATATATATATATATATATATATAAAGTCAAGAGATGAGATCATTAACTACACTCACCCACAGAAAGCAATAGCATGCATGTGATCATGATTGTTTCTTTCTCTCCCATTAAATAGAATTGCATGATTTCCAATAATTACGTCAAACTGCAGTTTAATTATAATCAAATTCTTAAAACCTTGAAATAAAAATAAAATAATATAAAAAATACTAAATAAATAATAATAAATAAAGACAGTTAGACATTATAAACTTTACAGAAACATAACAAAAAGTAGAATCTCTGAGCTGATCTTGTCACGAGACTAATAATTCTTGCCACAATTCCAATAAACAAATAAATAAAATATACAAAAATGAAAATAACAAGTACTATTTCACATTAATTAAATGAGGAATAATATATATAATTAATTAATTAAGTAATGTGCAAAAAGTACCCCTATGTAATCCTTATTTGCCAAAAAGCCCCATGTGATAAAACAACTAGCAAAAACCCCCCTATGTAAAGGCAAAAAAACCCCTTGAAGCAGAACGTATGTTCCACTCGTTGCTTGTGTGATTTTTTGTTCATTTTTACTTATGAAATGACAGAGCTGCCCCCCAACCAACCCACCACCATCATCATAATCTCTCTTCGCTCCCCTTTTCTCTTTTGATTTTTTGGGAAAATTTGCAATCCAATCCCCTAATTTAAGTTTTACAAGTTTAGTAAAATTGTAATTTTGCCCCATATTTCATGTTATCTGATCTTATTCTGTTTTATTGTAGGGTATATTTGTCTTTTTACCTTCAGTCAATGTCTAAAATCATATAGTGAGCTATTGAAAAATTTACACGGGGCCGGGGTTTTTGCTAGTTATTTTATCACAAGGAGGTTTTGGCAGATAAGAATTACACAGGGGTACTTTTTCTTTTTGCACATTACTCTTAATTAATTACATATAATACAAAAATATTATAGAAATGTTGCAACGGCGGAAATAGGTGCAGAAATCCTGATTCTATCCATGTGGGTTGTTCCGTATACAGGCAAATTACCACTTGATGCCGAGCAAAAATCCAAATCATGGTTCGGCAAATCGAACAAATCCGAACTCGAATCGCTCTCTGCGCCATCTTCGTCGTCGTCGTCGTCATCGCTGAATTTCCTATTCATGACGGTCGAACTCCTGTCTGAAAATCCAAACCCCGCATTATTATTCCTGTAACTAATAATATTGTTGTCACTAATAGTTCTTTTCTGATCAACGCCAGCGTTGATTATTCTGGAGGGGGCCGAAACCCCCAGCTCGATCTGGTGGTGAGACAGACTTCTGAGCGATGATTTCGTCGGAGTTGCCATCATATTTGCATACGTGGATTTATTCGAAGAATCACTAGTAGTTGTGATTTTGAAATGGCTGATGCTGCTTCTTCGTTTTCTCTCTTCTTCCAGATCGTTATTGCTACTGCCAGATTTAACCGACGTGTTCTTCTTCTTCATCAGCTTCTTGGTGGTTGTGTTTTTCGAGGTTGTTTGGTTGAAGAGGGAGTTCAAGAAACTGGCGAGTTTCCCACCGGGAGAGCTCGGCTGTTTGTATTTCTTCTTCTCTTGCTTTTTCTGATCTCCACCGTGGTCCATGGCGGCGGCGGCGGCGGCGGACAGATTACTGTACGGATTCTTTGGCATTTCCAGGCTTATCCTGCAGGCAAGTGCTCTTTGAGGAGGAGGAGGAGGAACGGCTGTGTTAATTGGGTTCTGATCGGCGCCGCCGGAGAAATACCGGGCCGCCTCAAAAACATCGATCTCGCCGGAGTTGTTGTTCCTCCACTGGGTGATCACAGCAGACATGGGTGTGTTTTGATATTTAGTAAATTTGGTACTGCAAATATAAGAAAAGTTACTATTTGTGTTAAGCAGGCGCAGAATGCGGGGTGGTGAGATTTGAAATGATTGAGAATAAATGGGATTTTCGATACCCTTTTTATAGTAATCGAAATTTAAGATCTATAATTATTATTAATAGTTTAATTAAATAATTGAATTCTATGTACTTGGTGTGTCGTGCCCATTCGTCTACCACACCAATTGCACCATATCATATTATATTATACTCGATTATAAATACACTAAAATCTCGAGAAATTATTATGGATAAATTAATAATTTTGGTCAAATAATAGTTTCTTCTGGTCCTGAATCAGAAAAAATATACTAAATTCTTAATTCGATAATTCAATATTTCATTAAATTAATAGAATTTTGTTAGTACCGACTGTATTAATTTATAAATGTTTGACTGCATCATCGATTCCGCCATAATTTGAATGTATGTCAATTTTTTTTTCCTAAATAAATCGGCCACTTGCTAATTATTTATTGCGTAAGTTTAATTTAACATGGCATTGGAAGATATTAGTGGGGACATGTTGGACGCCTTATTTCGTATATGAGATACTGTACTCGGTGAAAAATATTGGATAATTGCACTATAAATCTATACAAATAAATATTTACTAAACAGTAGTAAGCACATACGTGTGAATGTGTGCGTATGTTTTATTATGTGTAGATTAATGGTACATAATTACCCGATGCATTTCAAGCATAAACTTGACCAAAAATTCCTTTATGAAACACAATACTCCCATAGAGATTTTGTTCAATTAAGGAGTACAACAAGATTATATATATATATATATATATATATATATATATATATATATATATATATACACACAAATTTTCGTACTTCTTTTTTATTTGTATCATTGTTTCCTCTTTCTTCATATATGTGAATTAAGTTACAAGAATATACTTGCCCATTTTATTTAAACAAAAAGTGTAGAATTCTCTTGGGTTAAATACTAAATACATCTAATTAGTTTTAATTCAAAAGATCAAAACAGTTTAATCACATTTAATATTTTTGTATTATTTTATCATTACTAAAATAAAATTATTATCATACAATATACGTACACAGTACACTCAATACAATGGCGGGTCGTACTTAGGAGCATAGCGGACTGACCAAAAATCATGAAAATACTGTATTACAAAAAGATTTTAGTGCGAAAAAACTCCGACCAAGACTTATGTCTTTTTCGGCGCATTAGCATTCTCTTTCGTATAACAAATTTACGGGTATACAAATATAAAATCTCCCTTAATTATTTTTTTAGCATACAAATTCGTGCTTCAGACGCAAGAATGTGGGGGCTAGAACGGAACACGTTTTTTCCTTTTGATGCTCTTCATCTTCATTATTAATTAATCCGAAATGTTTAAATATTAATTGGTGGGATTATATTTAAACTTTTCTAATGGTGGTGGAATCACTTTGTACCATGAATCTATTTCCCTTTTAGACTCAAATTGCTTGTGGATAACATAAATAAATAATATAAGAGATCAATAATTGACATTTGCCATTTGTGGAATGCAAGTTGAATCAATTAATTAAATTCGTTTATATTGCCTTTTTTTTTCTTTTTTTTTTTCCTTCTCATTCTCCTGATCAATATTTTATTACCAGGATTCAGGATATTATATCTATATATTTTTATATAAAGTAATGTAACACATGACATGCATTGGGTGGGGTATTAAAAAAAATAATTCAATTTGTACAAGCACGAGTGTTAATTAATGACCATTAGCAGTTAAGATAATATAAACTGTCATTAGTATTTGACTAATTATCTAATTGAGGAATTAAATTCTATGAAATAACTATATATATAGTTGAGAAATAAATATATGAAATTGTAGAGGCACACATGGTCACAATCATACGTGTATATAAAGTGATTGGTCCAAAGCTTTGTCGCTTTGTTGTCCAAGTGCGCTTTCAAGTATAAATTCGGTGGTCTGTACTCTGTATACGGTGAAAGTCGCGATACATGCCGAGCAATGACTAGTCTATTTAACACGAGTTCAAATATTTTTATTAATATTTTCTGGATTGAGACCGTCGTATATAGTTAATCTACTGTGATTTACATCTCTCGTCGACTTTGCGAATCATTGCACAACAGTGTGGTCACGTCTTGTTTGATACATGGTCCTAACGGTGGATCCACAATATGGCTAAGGGGGCTGTTGCCCCCGCCCCCGGAAGATAAACAAAAATTACTTTTCAAATTTAAAATAAGTTTATAACTATAAATTGATCATAATCTAATTATAGGTAATATAATTTTTCATATGAATATTTGAGTACAATAAAATTGCTTAAATTATATATGCATTTCTATATTAATAATTATTAGTTAATATATTAAGAATAATTCTAAATATCTAGAAAATTATGGCCCAACCCGTGTGTGGACTAAATCCTAAGACGTGGTGAATGGGCATGGCTTTGCGGGCTTGGTCAACCGGTCGGGGTTTGCGCCACATGTTCTTTTGGACAAACGCTAGATACTGTTAATGTGTCTGTAATTGGTCCCGTAACAGACGACCTAGCGGCTGGAGAAAATGAACACGTAGTCTAGCGATTAATTTACGTATCTCGTATAATTTGTAAACTATTATATGAGAATGTGAGTTTACTCAGTGCATGTACCTATATAATACGTCTGTAATTCGACTCGATTAGAGTATGTAATAATGTAAATATATCTAACTTACCAATAAAGTTGAAATTTCGAGTTTAATTTCGAAATGAGGATAAAATGTTGCAACCATATAGCACTACATGACATGTGCTACACTTCAATTAACTATGAGATATGTGGAGCCACCAAACCCTAGCTAGGGGAACAACAATTTGCCTAAGTCAGCAAATGCACACGAACCACTTCCTCTTATCATCATAGCTGGATAAATTAAATTATTATATATTCTACAATATCAAATCATTATCACCAGCGGTAGAAATCATACGAATCGGATCGAAATTAATACACTCTGGTTTTATTTTAAAGTGAAAAACTAATTCTAGCTAGTTATAAACATTCCAAAATTTTGAAAAATCTGAAAATGGAATGAAAGAACTGTTCTACTACAATCGAAAATTTTGGATCAGAATCCGTGACCGGTTCGGATGATCAATCACAATTTCCATTGATTCCGATCACGATTTTAATTCCTGA